TTAGTCAACAGATAAAACTTATAGATCCAGCAAATCTTCACAAAGTACCTGGACTTAGGACACTCAAGGATTATCAATATAATATAAACTTCTTGCTTTTATAATAACATATCCTAGTGCAGTATTAGTCTTCAGTTCAGGCCTGATAATCTCTAAGAATGAACAGAAAATGAAGAGGTGAGGTAGTTTTATCATTCTGGAATAGAACAGTTCTTCAGCGATGTTACAACCGACAGATACACACACACGTAAGAGACTGAAATTCTTCATTGTGGTCCTTTCATGTCCCTACTCCACCTTCGTCTCAAACCGGCGTCTACGTTCCCTTGATGAAATTAAAAATGATCACAGAATGGCTCACAACTCCTCAGATCTTTCCTTGAGCGACTATGCTTACAAAGACAAACTTCAGGTGACGCCCTGTGAACAGTGTCCATAAATTCTACTCTCTTCCCTCTCATCAGAACACAATATCCTAACTTCTCATGTCCAGCATTCTTGAACAAAGCCCTTAACTTCTTCTACAGTGGATTTTCCTTCATCTTAGCCAAATGGTTTAGAAAGCTCTGGCTGACAAGGGAGGTTTCACAAACACCAACCACGGGAACTGTCTCTCTCTGGTCACCTTGGGGGACTTTCCCCCTTCACCCTGCAGAAAAGCTGCATCCTATGAACACGTGCCTGTTGGAGAGTACGCTTTTCCTCAGTAAAGGAGAATGCTAATTGTGAACAGGGTGTGGAAAAGAGACTACTTTGCTATCCAGGAAGATCAGTATTAGGAAGGAAAATATGGAAACTGAGACTTTGGAAATTAATCCCTTTAAATTTAGTTGTACTTGTTTTATGTTCAGTTTCAGGATACTTTTGATAGTCTCCCCCATCCAATACTTTGTCAATTCCACTGCACTGGTCATTTATCATTTCTGTACTTTCAATCCTCCAGAAAACATGGAAACGAGAGCAGTTACAGTAGGCAATGTGCTTGTTTCTAAATGTCTCCTATACTAACAGCTACAACACTTAATGCATACCAGTGACACATCAGAAACTAGCAACACTCAGGCCCCCTGGACCTCAGGCTGGCTGCATCCAGGCATCCGCAGGGCTGGGAAGGCCCCACAGGTGATGCCAACAGAGACCAGACACTGAGAAACCAAGTACTCGGAGTTCTTCCTTTGGAAAGCAGATGCAATAAAAGAAGCTCTTAAATGTAAAGGATAAAGATACTCAAACCAGTTTGAACTGCATGGGTTTCCCTTGGTTAGCACACAGTCACAAGGAAGACCCTCCGAGGAGCGCTCTTCTGCACAGCAGATCCAGAGCCACAACACAGTGACCAGGGAAGCAATAAGGCAGCAAGCACAAGTGGATAAGTGCTACAGCAGTATGTGCTGCAGAATATCACTAGTGGTACGAAACTACCAGATAACTAGGCCAATTTGAAAACAAAAATAGAAGATACTTGGACATTAAAAAACAAAGTGGAAACTCGGAAAGAGGGCGAAACAACAGCATTTATAAGGGTGGAAGCAGGTGCAAACAATGACACAGGGTGAGCCACGGGGAAGGGAGACAAGACAAAGCTTGTAAGAATTAAGTTACATGGGAGTGAAAAATGTCAACATATTAAAGTCTATGAGAAAATAGATGATAAAAGTAACATGTGAACAAATTACAATGGAGAATTTTCCAGAATTGATGGAGATATCTACTACAATTTGGACATAATTTGGCTCCCAATTTATGTTAAACATCAGTCTTACGGTATAGGCACTGAAAATGCACCAACTTAACCCAAGCACCCTTGTGGTGCTTGGAAGTGAGGCTTTGGTGATCAGATCAGACGGGGGTCACTGCGGTGAAGCCTTCATGCTTGAACTGCCCCGGCAGTGGGACCCGCATCACCTCAGGCCTCTCCCGCCAGGAAGGACTTGACAGGAGGCCACACATGGGGGGCCGCTCTGCATTAAACTGAAAACCATGCTGAAAAACGCAGACTTTTCTTTTATAAAGTTAGGCTGTGTCAGGTAATTTGTTATGGCAAGGAAAAGCTGGTTAATACAATAGCCACCTAGATATTAAGAACCCCAGGTCGGGCCCGGCGTGGTGGCGCAAGTGGTTAAAGGTCCTCGCCTTTCACGCCCGGGATCCCATATGAGCGCCGGTTCTAATCCCGGCAGCCCTGCTTCCCTTCCAGCTCCCTGCCTGTGGCCTGGGAAAGCAGTCGAGGACAGCCCAAAGCTTTGGGACCCTGCACCCGCGTGGGAGACCCGGAAGAGGCTCCTGGCTTCGGATCGGCATAGTATCGGCCCGTTGCGCTCACTTGGGGAGTGAAACATCGGACGGAAGATCTTCCTCTCTGTCTCTCGTCTCTCCTCTCTGTATATCCGCCTTTCCAATGAAAAAATAATAAAAAAATAAATCTTTAAAAAAAAAAAAAAAAGAACCCCAGGTCCCCACAGGTGCGCAGAGCGAGGGCTGTGTGTGTGCGTGCCCTGTGGCATAAAAGCCTAAGCCTACGCCTACCGTGCTGCCCATCGGGTGTCAGGTTCTGGTCCAGCTTTCTGCTTATGACCTGGGCATGTCCACGGGTCCCCTGCACCCACTTGGCAGACCCAGTGGGTGCAGGCTCCTGGCTCCCAGCTCTGGATTGGCTCAGCTCCGGTCTTTGCAACGATTTGAGGAGTGCCAGTGATTGCAAGATCTCTGTCTCTCCTCTCTGTAACTGCCTTTCAAGCAAAAATAAAATTTTCCTAAAGCCTCAAACCACACACACACAAAAACTTAGAGAACTTTAAGTAGAAACAGTCAAAATTAAACTATAAGCAGAAAAAAAATTAAAACTAAAGTTATTAATGGATATATACATATAGGGACATACCCCAAGGCTTAGGAACCCAGAAGTAAGCAATAAAAGAAGACATGTTGGCTGTATTTTAAATTTAAGAACTTTTGAATAAAGGACTTCTTAAAGAAAAAAAAGAATCAAACCCACAAACTGGAAGACTTCTCAATATATATTACAAATATATATTACAAATAAATCATGTCCACACTGCTAAGACAAGACAGTGCAATACAAAAGACAAAAGCGATTAACAGGCACTTCAAAAGGGGAGGCACAAATGGTTAATTAACATATGAAAAGATGTTCACCCTGATTAAGATTCAGAATTGTAAGTTTCTGCTCAACTGGGGCATCATTTCACACAGGCCAGACAGGAAGAAATTACAAAATGTAAAAACCTCAAATGCAGTGACTGAATTATCACTACTGATCATTGATTATTCCTTTAAATTCTACATGCAGGATATATATTGTTTTCTAGACAAATACTTTATCACAAAAATTTTACTAAGGACTATCTAGACTTAGTAATTAAAATGTTCATGACCCTAGTCGGAGCAGTTTTGGTAAAATGTTGGGCATCAAAGACCACATCACAATGGGCTCACGAGGCTGTGTGGGGAAAATAGCATTAAGACAAACCATCACCAACCATCATCCTACAAGGCTGGGCAGCCAAGATGGCAACTCAAGAAACGCCCCACACCTCTCCTCTTAAATAGAAGAAACTGGGACAGTTTAAAAAGAAAATGGGGGACACACAATACCAACATAGGAAGCCAGGAGTCCCCTGGACAGTCAGTCAGCTATATAATAATCTCCATGAAAAGCGATTCGTTTCGGCAGGAACAGGCGCTACTGGTTCAGTTCTTGGACTGCCTCTTTGTCCTTGTCGAGGGACTAAGCCCCTTGTTTCAGGCCGCCCGGACACAGCGGCCCTCCTGGTGCTCCTCTCCCACACGCCGCAAGCCCAGCCTTTCACGCCATTCCTTGCTTGAAGATGAACTCACTGAACTGCCCCGTGGCCAGTCTGAGCCGTAAATGTCTCTCCACACTCCTCAGTACTGATCATGCCTGGGATTCCTGCGTCTCCCCGACACCCCTGCACTTTTATTCCTAACCTTCTAACACTCTAAATGTGCTTATCACGGTAGGTTAGCTCTAAGAGAGTGCAGCTCCTGCAGCCGCAGGCCCGGGACACCAACTCCTCGCGTGTTCAACCAAGGAGCAGTGGTCCCTGCCCCAGGAACTGTAAGAACAAGTGTAAGGGAAGTGATGCAGTGAGAGAGAACAGAGAAGCATCAACTGACTGAACACGGAAGAGACTTTTCCAAGTGCAGGAAAATGCGTGATATTCCATGAGTGTGGAGAACAGGAAGCACGGGGGGTCTGGCGTGGTTGAAACACGGGGTGCGCGGCAGGGGCGCCAGGTACCAGGCTTTCCAAAGAACCTTAATGACATCTCTTCAGCAGAGGACAGGAAAACCACCACCAAGGACTTTGCAGCGGATTCATGGCTCATTGGTGGCCCGTTTTATTTGCAGTCAAGGTACAGTACTGGATATAAAGTTTACATGAAACTATGGGAAACACTCCTTTTGATTGCTGTTTAAGGGACACATCTTGGGCAGGCCAGTGTTCATCCACGCGTGGACCGCGTGTAGCACCAAGCAGGTACGTTACTCTTTAACCGTCTCCACTGCGGATATGGGTTCCAGGGCTGTAACAGGCACCCCCTCCCGGCTCCCAACACTGAGGAGTTGTGCACAGGTTCGCCTCCCGTCACCCGATCACCCTGGACGCTCACGTCTTCGGCTCGTCCACCTGCCTGCGGTGCACCTGGCTACGAGTGCACCCCATCACTGCCCTGCCCGGGGTCTCCGCCCTGGTGTGAGAGGAGAGGTGGACACCACCGCCCGCGCGGGGACCCCGCGATGCTGCCTGTGCCGCCAGGCTCTGCGCGGCGGGGTCTGGGGGTGCCCAAGAGGGCAGGGACGTCTGCGCAGCCGGAGTGCGGGGGACCCCAAGAGGGCAGGGCTCGGGGACCCCAAGTGCTCCCGGAAGAGCAGAGGTCAAAGCCGAAGTGTAAAGCTGGGGGTGCCGAGCAGACACTCCCCAAACACCTGGGAGCGGGGTGAAGGACCAGACTCACAGTAATAGGCCACCACAGGGTCCCGCTTGTCGTGCTCCTGCGCCGTCCGCAGGTGATGCTGGATGCTCTTAAACTGGGGGGGCAGCGGGGGCAGCGGGACAAGCGCGGCCATCTCCACGCCAGAAAACCAACACTTCCTACTTGCGCGCCGCCGACACTTCCGCTTCCGCCCGGCCGGTCGCGCGCACGGGCGCTCTTCCGCGGCGCCGCGCAGCGCAGCCGGCTACGGGGGCCCGATCGGGACATCCGCGGGCGCTGACCGGGGACGCCCGGATCCCACTGGGGCTCGGAGGCTTGGGAGCTTCGCGGCGCGGAGCACCGGCGCTCTCTGCTGGAAGGACGAGGAATCGTTGTTCCGCTGTGCCTTTTGCTTCTGTTTGTGAGAAAAAGACGGAAAAACCCTCCCCTCTTTGTCATTCTGCCTTGCGAATAAATAAACCAGTCAAAAGAAAAGAAAAAAAAAAAGAATATTTCTGACTAGGAGAGAGCGTACAGGCGTGAATAGCCTTTGGCATTGTTCAGGGATGATTAATTCCAGTTTGTAAAATATCAATAGTATCAAGGTCTTTTGACGTGAGACACATTGATTTCACTTCTCAGAAGAGGACAAAAAAATAATGCACTTACAATTACGTTTAAATATTGACATATTGATAAAAGAAATAGACCTTTTCCAATCTAAACATATTCAGATAAATAAAACTTGAGAAAGAGGGCCTATGTTCTGAACTAGTTAATAGTTTGGTGAATGAATCACCTGTGGATTGCTTATTGATGTATAATGATTAACAACTTGGAGATGTTTTGAATTTATTATCTTGTTAATCCACAGATAACAGTTCTTGGAATTTACCCATTTTTGTAAGAGTTACCTTTTATTTACTAGAAAGGTGCAGTGACAGGGAGAGGGGAATTTGTTTTTTCCTTTTTAAGATTTATGTTTTTATTTGAAAGGCAGATTTACAGGGAGATAGAAAGGGAGAGATGGAGAAAGAGACAGCTTCCTTCTGCTAATTCATTTTCCAAATATCTGTAGAAGCTGCAGCTGGACCACTTAGAAGCCAGGAGCCAGGGTGCCAGGAGCTAGAAGCCAGGGACCATGGGGCCAGGGGGTCAGGTGTCTGGGGCAGGAGCTAGGGGCCAGGGGGCAGGGGACTAGGAGCTGGGAGCAGGAGCCAGGGGCCAGGGGCCAAGAGCCAGAAGCCAAGGGTCAGGGTGCAGGGGGCAAGGGCTGGAGCTGGGAGCAGGGACCAGGAGCCAGAAGCCAGGGACCAGGGGGCCAGGGTCTGGGGGTAGGGAACAAGAGCCAGAAGCCAAGGGCCAGGAGCCAGAAGCCAGGGGCCAGGAGCCAGGTGCCTGGGCCAGGAGTCAGGGGACAGGGGGCAGCGGCCAGGTACCAGGAACAAGGAGCTAGGGACCAGGGTCTAGGAATCAGGAGCAGTCTCAACACTCAATACGCTTTTTTTTTTTTTCCCTGTTACTTGTATTTCCATTACTCTAACATGTCACTGAGAAGTTGCTGAACTAGCAGAGAAATTAGTGAAGGAGACTGGGATAACCAGAAGTGTCTTCCTTTTCTCCCGGGAGCTTCTCACATGTTACCATCTCCTTCTTGACTTTAACCATGGTTGCGTCAAACTCTGGAGCTTTCTGAAAGATTGAACTCATGTGGAGGTCACACTCCCACACTTTCTGATTTTATTGTTTTGGTTTGGATCCTAAATATCAATACATGTAAAGTGTTGATGGTACATCTAAGGTTGAAGGCCAGTGTTCCAGGAAGTTCGCAGACGATGACTCAGCTTTCTGCAGGTCACTGCTTTGGTCAAAGACTGCACTTCCTACTCTTGTGGTTAAAGTCAGGAGAAGGGAATTTTGCTCTCTTTTCCTGGGCAACAGCTCAAACTAATAACTGGTTAGCGTTTGCTGAACTTCTACTGTGCACCATTTATGTTTCTAGGGTTCTCGCCTTCTTTCATTCAGTCTTCAGTATGGCCCTGGAAGGAGGCTAATATCACCATCACTGTTACATTCATGAGAAAAAGGAGACAGAGCATTTTGGCATCGCGTACAACGGCACAACCAGTAAGAATTAATGTTCAACTCTCGGGATTTTGGCTTCAGAGCCTTTGCACTTAGCCATTCTTGCTTGACCATGACATCACTGTAGAGCAATATATTCTTTTTTTTTTAAAGATTTATTTTTATTATTTTTATTGGAAAGGCAGATATACAGAGAGGAGATACAGAGAGGAAGATCTTCCGTCCGATGATTCACTCCCCAAGTGAGCGCAACGGCCGATACTATTGCCAATCCTAAGCCAGGAGCCTCTTCCGGGTCTCCCACGCGGGTGCAGGGTCCCAAAGCTTTGGGCTGTCCTCGACTGCTTTCCCGGGCCACAGGCAGGGAGCTGGAAGGGAAGCAGGGCTGCCGGGATTAGAACTGGCGCCGATATGGGATCCCGGGCGTGCAAGGCGAGGACTTAACCACTTGCGCCACTGTGCCGGGCCCGAGCAATATATTCTTATGATTTGTTTTTGCTCCACCCCATCTTACTGTGCCTGAAAAGCGAAATTCCTCTTCTTGGCGAAGGCTGAGTCTTGTAATTCTTTGACCTATTTCTTTTTTTAAAAAAAGATTTATTTTATTTTTATTGCAAAGTCAGATATACAGAGAGAAGGAGAAACAGAGAAGATCTTCCATCCGTTGATTCACTTCCCAAGTGGCAGCAACAGCTGGAGCTGAGCTGATCCAAAGCCAGGAGCCAGAAACTTCCTCCAGGTCTCCCATGCTGGTGCAGGGTACCAAGGTTTTGGGCCATCTTGGACTGCTTTCCCAGGCCACAAGCAGGGAGCTGGATGGGAAGCGGGGCCACCGGGAATAGAATTGGCACCCATATGGGATTCTGACATGTGCAAGGAGAGTACTTTAGCCACTAGGCTACTGCACTAGGCCTGAAATTTTTCTTTAGAACTTGAGATAGCCCGTTCATTTCCCATGTGCATACATTTAGAGCAGGGAAGGAATAAGAAATGAATTGTGAGTATTGGATTTTACTCCATAGGCACACATGCATGACCCCTTTTCTGAGAAAATGATTGCTACAATGGACAGCAGTAGAGTCATTGTTAGCATTGATGTCACATTACAATTACAATTTTGCTATGCAGCAAAGCATGAACAATAAAGATGGTTTCTTTTTCAGATTTTGCTATAAATAATGTATCATGATGTTTTATTATAAGTAACAATGTAAACTTTCCTCCTTCCAGCTTTGACCTATGTATTTTAAATTTTCATTTGCAGGGGCAGCGTGTTGATGCAGTGAGTCAAGCTAACACATTTCAGAACTCATATCTGAGCACTTGACTGTGTCCCAGCTGCTCCGTTGGTGGTCTGGCTCCCTGCTCAAATGCCTGGGAGAACAAAGGATGATGACTCAGGTACTATGGGAGACCTACACTTGTGTGGGATGTCCAAGCTTCTGGATTGGGCCCAGCACCGCAACAGCCCTTGCTGCTCTTTGGCGAGTGAACCAGTTGGCGAAAGAGCTTCCTCATTGCTGTTCAACTTGCTCTGTTATTCTGCTTTTCAAATACACAAATACATGAGTAAAACATATTTTCATCTTATGAGGGAGAGAGAAGAGTAGTGGGAGAGGAATAGAAAGTTCACACAACCAATGGTTTACTCTTCAGGTGTCCCCAACAGATCTGGTTGGGAACTGAAGCCAGGAGCTTGGAAACCCACCCTGCTGGCCTGTGTGAGTGGATGGATCCCAAGTGTTTGAACCATCGCTATGCCTTCCCAGGGTTCACACTGTCAGGAAGCTGACTAGGAAGTGAAGCCCAGACTCCAACCCAGGCACTCTGCTGATGCCATGATCTGCTGTCTGTCACTGACCAGTTGTTGAAGGATGACATCAGTGCCCAGGATGGGGCTTGACCCTTGGCCAAGGAGGGACAAAAAGAGATGTTCCAGGGCACAAGGCCTACCAGAAGAGGACAAGACACTAGGATCGACAGGGATCTTGATAATAAACCTCTGTTCCGTGTCCTGAAGTTCGTGTGCACCTGTGATTATACAAGCTTCTGTTCCACTCGTGGTCAGAACGACTTTGGTGGCAAGTGAACCATGGTGTTACATGTCTGTAATTATGAATTTTGGACACTGTATATTTGGTAATATCAGGGGATTCACATCTTATTTGTTAAGAGTGACAGAGAAGACCCAGAAGATGTGGCGAGGCCCATCTACCCCGCCTGTGATTGGGACATGTGTAAACTTACAAAAGTTTGGGTTTATACTCTTATCAAAGACCTTTGTTTGTTCTTAGGATCTTTGAATTACATTCACACATGTTTTAAAAATTTGCAATAAGTGTGTGGAATGACTTTTCTGGTCTCTGGCTTGTCCTAGTACCTTGTGCTATATTATACTTGGTAATAGATTTTAGTAAAAATATTTGATTTGCAGGTTATACTGATCTCATTTAACAAATAGACACTTGTTCCTTTCTAATTGCTAACATATTACAAATTTTTCTTCTTCAGTAATTGATGCAATTAAATTAAGGAATAATTTCAGGCTGAAGTTTTCTTAGTGGAAAATCTTTGGGTTTTAAATTTTATTTATTTAATAGATACAAAATACCAATGTATTTTATACTTGTTATTTGTTCAGGTTTTAATAACATGTCTTTCAAAGAATTTTTCACTTCATCTACATATCAAACTTACTGCCATAACTTTCTTCATTCTATTTCTTATAATTATGCAATGACTTTCTATGCTGCATTTTTGTTTATCGTATCAGTAGCTTTCATTTTCTCTTTTTATTATCTTAAGCATTCTAGCTAGAAACACAGCAACCTTACTGATATTTTCAAAGAATAAACTTTAGTTGGTTTTCCCTATTATCTTTATTTTTATATTTTCAACTTTTTTCATCCATTTAATTTATTTAATTTTTTTCTCTTTTTAACTTCTTAAATAAGAAATACAAGAATTTTTATATTTCCCAGTATAATATTTAGAACTATTATCATCCTTCTGAACACTGTTTTAATACTTTCCATAATCTTGATTGTTTTGAGAGAGAGAGAAATCTTTAATTCTCTGATTCACTTCCCAAATGACTCCAATTGCAAGTGCTGGTAGCAGGC